CCCTCTATTTACTTGTCAGCTGTCGCGAGAAAGAAGGGGGCTTTGACCTACGTATCTGATTATTACATAGCACACACACATAAATTTTGTGCATTATGCAATGTTAAAAAAGGCAAAGCAGCCGCTTAGTTGGCCAGGGGCCCTGACTGACTAGGCGGCTGGTATATATATATATATATATATATATAAAGGGTTTACATGAGGTATCGACTTTACAGTTTATACTATTGAAATAATGCGCCAGTTTATACTATTGAAATAATGTGCACCTCAAAAATCCTCTAGACGAGAGTGTTCCAAAGTTGGAAAATCCTCCAAATGATCAACTCAACCTCGAAATATACAAATACGAATAAAAAAATAATTTCAAGTCCTAAACATAGTGCACCTTATAACAATTTATCTGAACCTTCTGTTTTCAAGATTTTCAAGTATTTATAAATCAGCTTGATCTATATCATTTTTTTGAGTTTCAAATTTCATAGCTGAAGAAGAAAATAGATTTTTACGGTATTATAAGGAATATAATTTAGTACTCCAAAAGTTTTAACATCAAACGTCCGTACAAATATAAAAAAGCATATTAACAATGGCTTATTTGAAAATTTCAAGAAGGGCATAATCAAAAAGAATCTTTTTGAATTTGAAATTGAGTTTAGGAAGGATTTTAAAAAGACCAAAATACCATTTCCAAAGTATATGAAATATTTATGGTAAAAGTCATTTTCACACACACACACACACATAGATTGAGTCCAGGAAAATTGAGAGATTGAGGAAGATGTTGCATACATAATTAGAGTTGGGTGGGCGAAGTGGAGATGTGCAATTGGAATTTTATGTGATCATCGTATACTAATGAAACAAAAAGGCAAGTTCTATAGGACAGCTACAAGATTAGCTTTGCTCTATGGGGCGAAATGTTGGGAGGACAAAAAACAACATACCCATAAAATGAGTGTAACAGAGATGAGGATGTTGTGAATGTTGAGATGTACGAGTGGCAAGACAAGAAGGGATAGAATTTGAAATGAATCCATCTGGAAATTTAGGGGTGGATAGGTAATAAGATGAGAGAGAGCAGACTTAGGTGGGCAGGCCATGTGTGGCACCGACTCAGTACAGCACTTGTTAGGAGTTGCGAGTTGGTTCACGTGGAAGAATTGAAAAGGGCAAGAGGTAAGGCCCAAAAGGACATGACTGGAAGGAATCTGAAAAAATATAGGGACTTTTGGCCTCCTTGAGGGTATGTCTTTTAATAGGGCAGAATGGCAGACCAGGATTCATGTAGCCGACCCCAATTAATTAGACAAAGGCTATGATGATGATGATGATGATGTGATGATGAGATAGATAATATGTGTGTAGGTGCGAGGCCGAATATCAAACACTTAGGGCAGATTTGGTACATGTGAATATACTTCCCATACATTATTTTCGCACCAACATGGTGCCAATTGATGTGAAGAAATTCCCACACCTAATCACATGAGGGAGCTTTTTCATACGAAAATACTTTTCGAGAAGCATTTTCACGTGTACCAAACATGCCCTTAGAGATTATTTTCTTTTTTTCTTATCTTATATTAGAGTGCTCGGATGATGCTAATGATGATGATATGTAGATTGCGAGAGAGAGAGAGAGAAAGATTATATGTATCCGTGTGTGTGTGAGAGAGTGTCTGAGAAAGAGGCCTCGAATCGAACACTTAGACAGCATGTTCTTTTGTTTCTTCTAAGTATATGTAGAGAGAATATGAGTCCCCCAAAGGTGGGGTGGGGGTTGGAGAGAGAAAAGCCTTGTAGCGACCACTTGGAGGTCATCTTCGGTCCATCTATATGTTTGTGTGTATGTGTGTGTGTGAGACAGAGAGAGAGGCCTTGCATCGAACACTTGGAGGTCATCTGCTGCTTCTTATACATAAAGTGAGAGAGAGAGAGCACATGGCCCCAAAGCTAGAGAGAGGAGGGGCTTAACCATTTTTATAGGTCTTTGGTTTTTTTTTTTTTTTTAAAAAGGAGCTTTACTTCGTTTTTTTTCTTTCTTTGACGGGGTGGTACTAGGCACCCACCTTGGGCACCTAGGAGCACGTCTGCTTGAGGCATCCACCTAGGCCAATATCAGGCTTTTTTTTTTCCTAGCCACCACAGCCAAATTTTTTAACACTGGCCTTATGTTCCATATGTTGAAAATAAATCCATTAACATGTCCAGTAATTGTACCAAAATTTATTTCTTCTACTAATATCCATAGAGTTGCCAATTTCAAATGCTCACAAACAATGTTTTAAAACCCAAACTCACTCTAGGACTCTGTGGTTGCCCGAAGCAAGTCAATCTCAAGTGGACTTGCCAAAGAAAAAAATACCAAATTTGGGAAAATTCAGAAAATATAAAAAAGGAAGAAAAATGAAATATCATAAAAGATCGAGAAAACCTGTATACAAATTGCAAAATGATGAAATGTAGATTTTATTTTCATACACTCTTAAACTTTTCGGCAAAATTGTATTTCCCTATTCAATATGCAAATCTGAGATTTTGAGTGTTCTTTTGTAGACTTGCCAAGTCTATCAAAAACTCACTGAGTTGCTACATTACTCCCTAAGTTGCCATAGTAATATGGGCAAATACTGCTACAGTACTCACCTGATGAGTGTGGGAGGGTTCAGGGCTCAGGGGCCTAACTATGATGAGCCCAAGTTGGACTCACAGAGTTTCCAAATCTGACCATAAATGAATTCCAGGTAATGTAGGTTTCTCCAACACTTTTGCGTAGAAATACTCCAGGTTTGGTATCAACACCATGACTATGCTCATCTAAGAAAAGCTAGGCATACCAAAATTTTATACATTCGTCACTTGGTTAAATCCATGATGGTCCTTGGAGAAATGATATCTAAAAGCTAACAGTGTCCCATCTCCCATCCCATTTTGCACCCCCAGGCTTTCAATACAATCAAATTTATTATACCCTCAAGTAACCACTCAAACTCCTCGATTGAGAGCAATGAAAGTGGTTGGTTCCATGGTCGTTTGTTGGTGACTTATTCAATAAAGTAAAATGCAAGAAAATCTCAAACCAGAACCAACCTATCACAGAGCCAACAGACTTCCTCGTATCGCATACTCCAAATCATGTTCAATGCTGCTTGATTTGCAAGTGTATCAGCATCCAAAGGCACATGAAAAAACTTCCTCCTAATTACATGGAACCACAGGTATAGAAACCATAGGAGCACAGTTGAGTAAAGAGACCAGATTTAGGGTTAGGGATGACATTTTCACCCAGTCTTAAGTGTAGATCAATGAACGCAACGCTTCATACCAACCCAGTTCTCAAAGAATGCTCCCAATGCCATCAAACAGAGAGCATCAATAGAGATTATTTTGAGCAGCAGGGTGGCGACATGTTTTATTTCCACTCTTCACAAGGGATCCTAGGGACAAGGAACTTATTGTTCTTACCAAATTGTGGTGTTCTTGTCGCACCCATTGTGATTCAAACTTTATTTTTTTTTTATTTTTTTGGTGGGTTAATTGAATGTTGAAGTGGGAATAGAGTGGGACAGTGTCAGTATTTCCTTTATAAAATACGTTTGCCAGGGGTCTTAGAGCAAGACATGCTCACTTTGAACAACCCCTACTCCACCAGGGTGCTTCTCTTTGGATGGCTTTTTACTATCCAGCAAGTCCCCAACCAAAAATCAAATCCTCCATTGCATCACAAGCACCACTTTGCTAGACCTCTACCAAACTGAACTCTAGGTCAAGACATATACAATCGTGATAGAACAAACACACTATATTGAAATCACCATGTTTGATCAGCTTCCATTACAAATATAATCATGCTTTTGTTTGTAAAGTTTAACCCTCGCAAAGCCAACCGTAACATGTGTGATGTGTAAAATTAACACTTTGTTGTATATGCAAAAAATGGCCATCAAATTCTAGTTCATGAAACCTACATTACTGATAGTTTTCCTCCCTGACCATGGCGTGCTAATTTGTATGAGGGGGTTCAAGGGTTCCTCATGCAAAACAAGATGACCCAACAACACAGCTCAGGTCCCTTACACTAAGTCACTAAGGTTATTTTTTATTTGAGGGAAATTTATCAAATCACACCTAGATGTTGAACTATTTAACATCTCACCATAGGTGTGATGAATTTCAAACCCATTGTAACACGCAATTGATTGGCTATTTGAAATTTGACCAGATGAATAGACTATTTGAAGCAAGGTCAAAAGATATGGGTGAGATGTTAAATATGATTTGATAAATTTCTTTTTTATGTTTACAAATATGAAAATGATTAACCATGCATAATAAATACCTGAGAAATGCATAACAAATTCCTTGATTTTAGGCATAACAAAATGCCATCTGAAAATCCCACCTTGAAACAAATAAACCAAACCCCAAAGCCATAATAAACTAACCACAGACTGACTAAAGGGAGCAGAAGTTCTTGTCTTCCGCAACCAGACAACCAAAATATATATCAAAAAAATATTTCCTCAAAAAAAAAAAAAAAAGGGAACTTTACCATGTGTCACAAGAAATAAACACTTGCATTCAATGTCTAAGCTAAAAATATCATATAACAAACAAGTTGCAACACAAGGAAAAGCCAGGGAAGAAAACAAATTATGGAAATATGTGAATCTGTAAACAAATAAAATGAGATAAATAAAAATAGTAGAACGAGAAAATCAAGCCGAATAACCCAGTAACCAGAACAAACAACCGAACCCGAAACCATGAAAACCCACAAAAACCGACACAATATTTTTAGGGAAACCCCATTAAAAAAACCCAGAAATCTTTTTTGAAAAAATAAATAATGAGGCCTACAAAAATCCGAAACAACCCATAAAAAATGGCGCACCTTCACGCATGAAAAACTTTAAACTCATAAAACTTTGTCCAAATGTCTTAAAACAATAAAAAAGAAAAAGAAAAAATACCACACATTAATACTCTGAACTCACATAAATTTTGTTCCCAGTGATTTGTGAAGCTTCTCCAGAGTTTCCATGAACAACAGAGGATTAGCTGCAACCTGTTCATACTTTGCTAGAGGCAAAGGATAATGACCCAGCAGTTGGTTTCCTGTAGAAGATGGGTCACTGTGAAATGGTGGACTTGGTGTAGAGTGAGGAGAGAGAAGGGGTATTTGGGTTTGTTGGGAACCATGGTCAGGCATTATAATCAACTTTGATATGGCAAATATAACTCAAAATTTTTCAACTAAGATTAGAGAGAAGGGGAAAGAGAGAGAATGAGAAAGAAACTATTACAGTAAGAGAAAATGGAGGCACATAAACCAGGGAAGAAAATGTCTTTTAAGGATTGAGAGGTTATAATTACTCATCAGAATAGGTATTGTACTTTTGTCCTTTGTAAAATCTTTAATGACAATGCAGCCTTGCCTATATGACAATGTCACCGAGTTATCTACATTTATATTAAACTAGCAATTAATTAGCAATAATCAAGTATGTGATTTCAAGTGAGAAAAGCCATGGGGGATCGGTAATCTTGTGAATGTTTGATTTGTTTGAGTCATTAAAAATGGAATTCAAACTACTCTGTATTGGATATGTATTTGATGCATTCAATTATTAACAGAACCACAATATTCAAATGATTTTACAGGCAAAGTATAAGTTTTTACTGTGGTCACTAGTGAACCACTTGGAGCAAACAGAACCACAGCACTCGGATGATTTTGTAGCCCAAGTATGAGTTTTTACTGTGGCCACTAGTAAACTACTTTTTTCTCAAGACTTTAGTGTTGCCTCTGCCTCTCTCAAATTGCCAAAGCTTTTTCTTGTGTTGTGTCAATTTGTGTTTTCTTGTTTCATTGGTTCACTCTATCAAGGTCAAAATGAGTGTGTCAAAAATTGGAATCGGGCCTCAAGTCATCGTGAATTTTTTTTTTCATGGATTTGTTTTATAAGTCGATATGGGCTATACTTAACAAAAAAAAACTAAAAATAAAAGCTAACAACGAGAATCAAGGAAATTTTAGGACTCTGAAAGTGTTTAGCTCTTGATCCCAATCCAACTATAATGATTTTAATTAGGATTACTAATTTTAAAATTATCTGTCAAAAACCAAATTTATGTCATTTAGCTCCCGATACCTTTTGCACCCTTAGTTTTTGCATTTGTTCCCTGATATGGCAGCAAACTTCAATAGTTGGAAAACACTAGATAAATATGAGTTGAGCCACTAAAATTCATGAATGGCATCAAGTTTTTGCATAAGAACATAGAGTTGTTAAAACTTGATATATAAACCTGTTGAATAATCTTGATAATATAAGATATGGCAAGAAAATTGAATTCAAACCAACCAGAGCTTTGAATTTTAGTGAGAAATCACACGCGTCAAAACTCAAACATTTTTCAAAATCATACAACCATTACACAATCTTCAATGATATTTGTGCTATTCTCCAAACTCAATGGAGATGTTTAATGAGTGGAATTGGTATTGGGCCCCAAAAATTAGAAAAGCATAATTTTCGTAGGTAAAAAATGTAGTGGTTTTAAGGTATAAAGCTATATAAGAGCTTTGACCCGTTCAATGACTTAATAAGGAAATTAGTATAGAGTGAGGGTAATTTGGTCTTTGCAAAATTTGAAAGTATCTTTATCGTAACTCATCGATCCTCGAAACCTCCAAAACGAAAACCGCTAAGAATGGCAAGTGGCGTATTTGTCAAGGAGAAATTTGCCCTAGAGAAAAATGACTAGGAAAACTCCAACGGCTGTATGAAATATCAAGGGAGCCCTTAAAATTATTAAATTTCCCAAGAGAAGCTTGTCTTTTTCTTATTGCCGCTTATACCCTACGAATTTAGTGACTACACTCTACTGGATTTCGTGGTTTATGTAAGGTTGCAACTTTTAACAATCTAATTAAGGTGCTTCTCGAAATTTTATTATAATACGTGATTTTGGTATAAAAAGTTTTAAGATTATCTCAATTTTTATTTTTATATTTAATTATAATATTTTAAATTTTAAAAATAATTAAAATTAAATATATTTATAAACACATGAAAATCTTGAAAATGGACAGTCTAGCTAATATGTTGCAAGATGCATTATTTTTTAGACTAAAAATCTTCTTTTTCTCTTCTTCATGTTCATGTTTCTCGATGTCGAGTTGATCAATTAGAGGGTTTTTCAATATTAAAACACCTTTTCTTATGGATTTTTTAAGTTCATATTTAATTCTATTTAAAGTTTGAGCATAAGGGATCCCTGTAAATTTATTTTTTTATTTTTTTATTTTTTAATATTTTTTAGATCGCCATATGAGATAGATCCAATAATCAAATATCGGATCTATAGGTAGATGATCTACCTACCGAAGTTGAAATAGTTTAACCTTTGGAAGGGTAAATAATTGGTAAACTAAGTGTACTTTGGCAAATTTTCCTGTCCTTGTATGAAAGAACATGGTGTGGACAGGTTTGTCTTTAACAAATTGGCAATGTACAATTTGGAGGGTTTCCCATTTTCCATTCTCAAGGAAGAGGACATGTTGTTTGAATTTGGGCCACAAACAGTGCTCTATTCAAACCAAAACATTCCAAATTATATGAACCTCCAAAATGTCCACTCACTTCTTTGATATATCTACCTATACCCATGTTGCTAGTGGAGGTCACAATTTTCACTTTGTTGTATCTAGATGGGCTTCCCTCTCTCTCTCTCATACTTTCTCTCTCTTATGTCTTTGTGAATGCATTTATTTTTGTTTTGGGGTTACATATATCGATACCATTTAACTTTGATACAAGGTGTTTATAATTACTTACAATCATCAGATATGAAATTTGATAGCTTTGATACATCATAAAGTTTGAAAAAATTTATTTGGAAATTTGAGCTTGATCAATAAAATAATTACAACAATCCAATTTCACATCCAATGATCAAGATTAATGTCTCACCTCGTACTAAAGGTAAATGGTCTTATTCTATACTTTTTTGTTTTTTTTAAAGGTTCATACAAAGCATTAACTTTATGCAATTTAAGTAAGATACATCTTACGAACCCATAGAAAAAGGGTGTTCCGATGCTAAAAAAATCCTTCAAATTGATCATCTTGACTTGAGATATAAGATATGAAAAAAAAGATTCAAATAATGAAAATATGTGATTCATTTTATTCATTGTTAAGCTCTCGCTGTCACATGCGCATGCACACATAAAGATACAATATCATGCAGTCCACACTCAATGCGATTTGGAATTAGTGTTCGATGTTCTTTGACTTACAATGTTTTTTATCAACTTAGTTCTTATAGTACAACCCAGTGTTTGAAAATTCGAAATCAAGCTTCCACTCGCCAAGCTCTGATTCAGTTCAATCCATCAAATTAGGAGATTCTTGAGCATCGAGCTATATTTAACAAAAAAAATTCAAACAAACCTAGAACCCAAAAAACTGAATCAAATATGGGATTCCTAGAAGCAGAATCAGACAATCTCAGTTAGATATGGTAATTCTGATTTGGTTTAGGAATTTTTTTATCACGATAAAAACTGTAGGACAAGCTTTCTATACTTCCCCTAATGTACAGTAGTTATATACTTCCCCTTATATAGCCGTCAGATCTGAATGAATGATTAGATGGATCTTATTACAATGTCACGTCTCTACACTATTTTATTTTAAATTTTTTTCTTCAAAACATTTTGACACAAAATTTTGGGCTTCCAATCCTCTCTTAAACTCGCACCTATAAAAAAAAATACTCGATAAAATAAAATAATCAAAATATCCCTTAATGTTTTATAGCTATTTTAGTGATTTAATTTCGTAAAAAAATATTTTGTTAGGTTCGTCCCATTGAGATGATAACACGTACTATAAAATTTGTAGAATAAAAATTTAAAATAAAATACTTTATGGTGTCGGATCTAGATCAAACGGTCAACAGCTCACTTGATCTAAATTGAACTGCTGGCTGAATAGAGAAGAAGTATAGAACTGGGAATACAGGAACCTTTCCCCAAACTATAAAATACAAAATTAAATTAAATAAATAGATATAATATGAAGAATAAGTGATTATGAAGACAAATGTGGTCCTCCTTGACCAAGTGGTTGATGTCCTCAAACCACTTGCCATTTGTACGAGTGTTTAATACGCATGGCAATAAAAATAAAGAAAGTACAAGCTTGTGGGAAAAGTATTAGATAAGTACGTTTTTATTTCTGCATTGTTAATTGCTTAATGGCTAAAAAATGATGCCATGCTTCACTTTACAATGAAGCTATGTTAGAGAGAGAGAGAATGCACCAAAGAGAGTACGTCACCACTCGTAGGCTTCAAGGTTTGTAAATTTTACTTTGATTCCTTTAAGAAGAAGTTTTTATAGGGGGTGAAACCTTAAGCAGTCAAATTAAGGTGTACATAAAAAATTCAGGTAGTTTCAATGCTGTAAAATCTTCAAATTAGATTCATCTCGACCTCAAGATTTATGGATATGAGAAAAAATAAAGTTCAAATCTAAAAAATAGTGTATCTTGTAATGTATTATCTAGATTTTAAAATGTTCACATATGCATTTAATCTACACTATTTTAGATCTTTGAATTTTATAATTAGAGATAAAAATAAAATTTCAGGCCATAATAAAGATTTTTGAAACTGAAACAATATAGCTTAGCACTACTTGAAATTACGTCTTGCTTTGATTGTCTAGAGCTTCAGCCTAATACAAACCTCATCCTTCCCTTCATTTAAATATGAAATCCAATTTGCATCATGGCCAGTTGGATAATCAACATAATGTTTCCCACAGTCTATAATTCATCTAAAATATCTTAAGCCAAGTGCAATAGACGACATACATAATGCAACCAATGACTCTAACATAGTCTAGTTGGGACATTGAATTAACATCGTTCTTTCTTAGATGAAAATGAGAATATAGGGAGTTGTAGCTAGATAGCGGTAGCAATTGGTCGGGTCCATGCTTTGGATCCAGATCTGACATTTCATATCCAAAAGTTAGACTCATATCTAGATCCGAGGTCGAGTCTACCCATCGAGTCTTGGGTCTGATCGAGTCTATCGTAGCCTACTGCCTTAAAACTTGATCGCAAGTCAACTAACTTTTGAGTCCCATCGGACCATAGTAACATCATTTTCATCAATGGAGAGAACACGATTTTCTACAGAAATATATCTCATCGTTGACTATTTTATTTGGGAAACTAACATTATGAAATGAAATGACTTCTTGAATGCCAATGGGTTCTTCTGGAAAAAAGGTTTTAAATTCATGACCAAAATCAATTGGATGTGTAGCTGTTACTTCTAGGTTCCTAGTCTTCATGGCTTATCATGCTCCTTAGATCTTACATGTTGGTTATCATCCATTCTCTTATTCATAATAAAAAAACTTTTACAAAAATAAAATTCATCCATAAATTCTGCATTTACATTGGATTTTAGATTCATAAATAAAAAACTTTTACAAAAATAAAATTCATCCATATATTCTACATTCACATTGGATTCCAGGTTCATAAATCAAGCCGCCTACAAAAACACACCTTAAAGCCTTTGGTCCATGCTCGGCCCTCTTAAGCATTGGTAAGCCTTGAGCTTGAACATTTTCTTCTATTTATTCTTTTAACCTCTCTCCGGTTTGTTGTTTTCGCAATTTCATATGTAGTAATCATCAAATTTCACTTCCTCCTCTGTATTTATTTATGGCATTCTCTCCTTTTCAATGTTTTTTAACTCTCATTGGGCCTGGCTCGAGTTAAGTAACCTAGCCAAGTTCGAGTGGACTCAACTGAGTAGATTATATGTCCCAAAAGGCCCACAAAAATAAATATAAATATATAAATAAAATAAAAAGTACACAAGTGCAACAAAATCAAGGATAACATAAATTCCAAAAAAAACTAAAAATATATATATACAACATAGATTTAGGGAAAATCGATTCATGGTTGGTGACTTTTTAGAAAAGGGTGTGGTTTGCATAAAGTTGCAACCTTAAACAATCAAAGTAAGGTGCATCATAAACTATAATTTTGGTGTAAAAAATTATTAAAATGGTATGAGAATCTATTTGATCTCTAATTATAAAATTTTAACCTCAAAAAGTGGTTCCACATGAAAATATTGAAAATAGACAGTTCAAATAATGTGTTGCAAGATGCATTGGTTTGGGACTCGAAATTCATTATTATTTTCATTTCTATACATCTTGATGTCGAGATGATCAATTAGAGAGTTTTCCAACATCAAACAACTTTCTTGGATGGGTTTTTAAAGTGCACCTTAGTTCTATATTTAGGGTTGCAACCTTATATAAACATTTTTCTTTAGAAAATTCAGAAAAAATAAAAATAAAAATAGACCATATGACAATGAAAACTCACAAATTGTTATAAAAAAATTCACATTACACATATAAATATTTATTCCACACAATTATATATATTTTTAGGATTTTTTTATTTTAATTTATTTGAGTGTTCCGAGTGGCAGCGGGTACTTGACTTGGCAAGAAGTCAGGGTACAGTTAACTTGGCCTTGTCTGAGTGGACTCGACCGAATTTTCAATCATTGCTCGTTATCATGTGAGCAAATTAGAGGATGAAACACAAGGATTTAGCATGAATCCATGAAGCTCCAGGCCATCATCTCCACCTTCAAATTTACCAAAAAATATATATATATATATATCGAGAAATAAAATCCAGAGCTGGAATATCTCCTTGGCATTACTGCTCAACCCCAGCCTTCGATCCAACGTACTACCAACACAACCATCTCCCACGATCGGATCGTCATGATCAGTCTTCAACAACCCGGCCGGGTTGAATTGGAGCCGGCCAGGTTAATCGGACCCAGTCGTGGCTTTTGCTGGATACGATGGTCAACTGGCTTAACCACCCTAACTTTAGAATAAATTCAAAAAAGTTATTAAAATTCTTGTTAGTAGTATGTTTTTAATGTTTTTTTAAAAAATGGAGAAGTATTTGGGCTATTAATATTTATTTTTATATTTTTTTCATCTTTTTTATATTATGATTAATATACCCCTGGACACAAGTTGATTTTTCAAAATCTGTTTTTTCATTATTTTTTTCGTCTCATTTAAATGTATTTTATTTAATTTTACTTTAAAAATACTTTTTTTTCTTTTTTTTTTAAGATTTTTCTTAACCCTTTTGAGCCCGGTCGATGTCTCGTTAGGGCCGATTTCCCAGCTAGACCCGGGCCATAGGCAGGTTCCGAGGCGAATTCGTGCAATCGAACACCGGTCATCACCCCCCCATCAACGGCCAGTGTCAAAGTAAACATACCAAGCTTTCTATAAAGCAACATCAGTTCTAGAGAGAGAGAGAGAGAGAGAGAGAGAGAGAAGCATGCACAAACCGTGTACCTCGCACTTCACTATTAAGCTTGGGATATTTGGTTTTCTTTTACGAAGCTAGAAAAATGAAGAAACTTATGACGACTTTTTATTTGATGCATTAAATCATCAATGAGGGAAAGCAAAACCACAATATTCAAATCCTTTTGTGGCCAAAGTATGATTTTTTTTACCATGGTGACTAAAACTCTACTCAACCCTAAAAGAAATTTATTGACTTTATTAGTGTTCTGGTTGTTTCATGAGAAAAAAGTCAAAAGTTCTTTTGCCTTCCTTTGTGTTTATGAAGGCATGGTTGAATACATCCATTATCAATTTAATTTACTACCGTAATGAAAATAAATCATTATATTTAGGGATTGTCTATAAAGATACTATTTCTCTTTCGTACATAGAAATCACAATTATTCTCATTCGATAGATGTCATATTAGATGGTTTGGGGTGAGTCATGAAATCCGATAAATTTTTTTTTTTTTAACTTTTTGTTTATTCAATAACACTCTTACAACTACCCATTTTTTAATTTAAAGGAAAACAATAATTGTGCCCTCCGTGTACAAGACAAATAGTCTCTTGACCGACAATCCTGAAGTTTGTAGTGATTTATTTTGTGCTTGGTAGAGTCAGAAATAAATTTATTTGAAATAGACATCCAAAAGTTTTTTAGTAGGGAAAAAGTTTATATAGAGCCGAGGCTCTAAACAATCAAATTAAAGCCCACCTGAAAAAAATTGACTAGAAGAGGTTGTTTTGAAGACCAAATCTCCTCAAATTGATTATATGGACATCAAGTAATACACTATTTTATTTCCACATCACTATTTATGAGTTATCAAATAGTGCATCTTGTAATGCATTTTTTGACCGTCAATTTTTAAGATTTTCAAATTTTTATAGATTTGTTCAATCTACACTTTTTTTGAAGTTTTAGATGTTATAGTTAAAGATCCTATGAGACCTTCCCATACCCAAGTGTGTATGACCCCAAAGGATCACCATTAAATTTGGCACAGATCTCTAGATAAATCAAATCCTACACCTATGTGATAACTTTTTTAGAGATTTGTATCAAATTTAATGGTGATCCTTTGGGGTCCTACACACATAGGTGTGGGAGGGTCTCATAGGATCATTACTCAATAAAAATATATTTTAAAGCTATCATAAAGATTTCATGTTTCAAACCACATTTCTCGACACTATTTAAAGGTACACTATACTTTGATTGTTTAGAGCATCGGCTCTATACAAGCCGCACCCTTTAATATAGCTTAATCATTTTAAGAATTTATATAACTTAATTAAGTTTGATGTAAGATTATATGCCTTTGGGATCATTAGAAAAACCCCTATCTAGTAGTATTTTTAGGACGGACTTTGAAAAGCAACCTCCTCCACTTGGCTTCCAACCGTAATAAAATAAGGGATTGTATACAATGAGACCATTTACCTTTTGTACAGGCAAGTCACAATGAAATCTAACAGCTTAGGTGTGTCGCAAAGTTCGAGAAAATTTATTTCAAAGTTTGAATTTGATCAATAAAATAAATACAGCCGCTTAATTTCACATCCAATGGAGCATGATTAACTGTGAACACCTTATACCAAAAGTAAATAATCTCATTATATACTTTCCTATAAAATAAAAATTACCTTACCACTTCATATATGCTAAGGAAAAAATAACATCAAGACTAAACAAAGTCCAATATCTATATACCCATATCTAACAATTTAAGAGCTTAAATTTCAAAATTGATTTTTGCAAAAAGCTCACCTGGTCATCCTAACATTTTAGATTTGGAAATGTGTACAATGAGATCATTTACTTGTCCAAAATAAAATTTCTTCAATGTTATTGTACATTTCAATATATCGGATTTCACATCCAATAGCTAAAAATAATTGTAATCTCCTTGTTACTAAAATTTTAAAAACAAATAATTTTATGGTAATATGATTATGAAGAAAATAAAATTTGTTATTTAAAAATTATATTCTATGATATCAGTTTTACACTTTCCATTTTGGTTTATTGTTTGAAGGAACTATTTTCCATCTTTTATGCATCAGAGGATACAGTCAATATCAGCTTGGCCTGATGCATCAAATACTTCTCCTTTGCTAACAAAATGTTGAATAATTGGCGTTTGAAGGGCACTCTCAAAAACCTTTTCCATTAAGACTCACGTAAGTAAATCCTCACCTCATAACCCATAAAAATTTATAAGCATTGAAAAACCTTTTTATCGATCATCTCGACTTAATCATTATGGTTGTAAGCTCTAAAAATAATGTATATTATAACAAGTTATTTAAACCATCTATTTTGCCTTAAAAATAAATATTTACAGATCCACAAGGTATATACCATTTTTTGAGTTTCAAATTTTATTTTCAATATTAGGAACTGATTTTAGAGCCATCCAAAAGTACTTTTGAGATGAGGATTTGAGATGAGGCTTTATTTTGTTTTCATAAAGCCCCGGCCTCATAGAAACCTCATCATTCCAAAACCCCCTCGGAAGTATCTCTTTTGTGCCAGGGAGTAAATAAACAAGGTGATCTCGCGCGGGCGTACTATACGCTCTCTTCTTTGTCTGCAGCTCCATCCGCCCTCGAGGCCCTGCGTAGATTGAAGATTTTTCTCTCTCTAAAACTCGTCGTTCCCCGCCGCTTCTCTCTCTCTCTTTCTCAGCCATGGATTCAAAGGGAGAAGAGTCAGAAGTTTCAGAAGAGAGAGAAAAGGATTCGTAGAAAAGGGTTTAAAGTTTTTCGAAAGGGATTCTGTACAGGCGACCTAGCTTCCTCTCATCAACCAGACCACCTTGTTGCTATTGCAATACAGTTCCTGTAACTCTCTATCTCTCTCTCTACAAATCTCGGGCTTTAGCTGCCCATCTTTCTACTTCTTCGCTACCTCTGTAATGGAAGAAGCTACGACCATGAAGATACCCACTCTATCTCCAACTCCCCATTAAAGGACTCCACGGGGTCTCCCTCCACTGATTTTTTTCCAGAGAAACCACTTAAAGATCGAGTACTTGCTATCAAGTGTTTGAACGACTAGATGCTAAACTTCGCCGTGGATTCAATCCCAGACGGAGCTCTAGCTGTTGAAGAAGAGATCACCACTGAAAAGGTGGGTTTTTTCACTGTAAATTCTTGCCATTTGAACTACTTCAAAAAGATAAATTCTTGGCATTTGAATGATGTAGACATAGCGATTAAGATTTCAAATTCTTAATCTTTGCAGAATGTTGTAGATATTTAGACAGTGGGATTTCAAATTGTTTGTCTTTTTTTTCCTGCATAGTTTGATGCATATCCATTTGTGATATAAATTTTGACATTGTTCCTTTTTGGTAAGTTCGCAATGTATTCTTAATGTAAGGAAATCAAATTGAAGTTTATTTTGTATTTACAAAAGGTCTTCATATTATTGTTGGATTGGTTTTCTTGCATATTTTAATGCTAGATCATTCTGAACAATTACCCATTTCTTTAACACTGATTACTCCCAAATGTTTTAATGCTAATTCATTTTGAGCAATCCCCATTTATGATATATAATTCTTTAAATTTTCAGTGAGCATCTCTCTTTCTCTCAATCTATTTTTTCCTTTTCGTCTCTCTATCTTTGTAGGTTTCCATCTCTATCTTGCATTTTCCCTTCACCATTCTGGCAGCAACTCTTTCTAAAGCGTTGTCCAAATGCTTTTGTGGGGTTTAAGAGAGAGAAGAGAAAAATGGCTTATGTGATGCAAACAGAAGATGAAAAGAAGTCCTTTTAGAGAGAGCTTTTGTGGGAGATTAGGTTGTGGAATGGAGGACAATGGAGCTTTGAAGGTTGGCCGAATTTCAGTATCCACAATTTCGGTCAGGTATGCACCAATATATGCACCTACCAAATAGCTAACAAAGTAATATTATGCAAAGTATATTGATTTTAAGACAAAATAGTCTAATCTTGATAAAATTATCTTTCATCGGAACAGGCCCTCTGAATTTTGCTTCCATGGCCCTCCAGCAAAATAGATTTGGGCGCCTGGGTTTTGCTTCCATGGCTATAAGGCACATAACCCATCTCTGTTCCTTTGATTCCACTAGGCCTTTTCCTGATTATTCACCAAAAAAACCCACCATCAAAGATTCACAGTTAGTCTACACCATTGCCACCACTATCAAGCTTCGAAGGCCTGAGCCCCTGCGCCGTGTCCTCAAATTCTTGGAGCATCAGCTTAGGCCTGATCACATTATTTGGGTCTTTATGAAAATAAGAAATGATCATAGATTGGTTTTTTATTTTTTTGAGTGGGCTAAGAATCGAATAAATGCCAGCTTAGAGGCACACTGTATTGTTATACACATTTTGGTATCATCAAATGGCTCTGCCCATGCTCGTCAGGTCATTAAGGACTTTGTTTCAAATCCAGAGCCTGACTTTGTTTCTCATGACCAGTTTCTTGATGGATTGATCTACACATACAAAGAGTGGGGCTCAAACATTCTGGTCTTTGACTTGTTGTTCCAAGTTTATGCAGAGATTGGGCTCGTCGAAGAGGCGAGGAAGGTTTTTGAAAGGCTTCTAAGTTATGGGGTTGTTTTATCAGTAGATTCCTGCAATTGTCTTCTTGTTCAGCTTGTGCGAAATGAACGGATTGAGCTGGCTATTCAGCTTTTTAAGGCCATGCCAGAGGATGGTGTTTGTTGGAATGTGGCTTCTCATAATGTGATGATTCATGCGATGTGCAAAGTGGGGAGAATGAGTGAGGCCCATGATATTCTTTTGGGAATGGAAGCGAAAGGTGTTACCCCTGATGTAATTAGTTACAGTACTTTGATTGATGGATATTGCAGAATCGGCGAGCTTCAAAAAGCTCTAGACTTGATCAGAGAAATGGAAGCTAAAGGTTTAAATCCCAACTCATTTACATATAGTAGTGTGATAGTTGTTCTCTGTAACAGGAGCAAGGTAACCGAGGCTGAGAAGCTTATGAGAGAGATGGTGGATTCTGGTGTGGTCCCTGATAATGTGGTTTATACGACTCTAATTGATGGGTTTTGCAAAATTGGCAGTTTAAAAGATGCGTATAGGCTTGCGGATGACATGAAAATCAAAGGACTTGTACTGGATAATGTAGCTTACACTGTGTTAATATGCGGTCTATGTAGGAAGGGGAAGGTTAGAGAGGCAGAGGAGCTTTTCAAAGAGATGATTGATAGGGGGTTAAACCCTGATGAAATTACTTATACTGCACTGATTGATGGATACTGTAAGGAACATAAAATGAAGGATGCATTTTCCCTTCACAATCAGATGGTTCGACAAGGCCTTACCCCTAATATAGTTACCTATACTGCATTATCTGATGGGCTATGTAAGGGAGGCGAAGTGGATGCAGCAAATGAGCTATTGCATGAAATGGTTGGAAAGGGGCTGGTTCTTAATATTTATACGTATAATACGCTCATCAACGGTCTATGTAAAGTTGGTATCTTGGAACAGGCAAAAAAGCTCATGGAAGATATGGAAGAGGCCCGAATTTATCCGGATACTGTCACGTATACTACTATTATGGATGCTTATTGCAAGGAGGGTAATATGGATAAAGCTCACATGCTTCTTCGTGAGATGCTTGAGAAAGGCATGCAACCTACTGTTGTGACTTTTAACGTATTGATGAATGGGTTTCTTAGAGCAGGCAAGACAGAAGATGGTGAGAAGCTGTTGAGTTGGATGATTGAGAAAAGTATCATGCCCAATGTTATCACCTATAATTCTCTTCTTAAGCAATATTGCATGGCAAAAGATATGCAGGCTTCCTCACGAATCCTTAAAGAAATGCGTGCCAAAGGTTTGGTTCCTGATGGCAATACATATAATATACTGATAAAAGGCCATTGCAAAGCTAGAAATTTAAAAGAAGCATCCTACCTTCACAAAGAAATGACTGAGTTGGGATATAGGCTAAATGTTAGTTCATATAATGCACTCATCATGATGCTCTGTAAAAAGAGCAGACTAGCAGAAGCAAGGGAACTGCTAGATGAGATGAGGAATAATGGTGTTGTTCCTGATAGGGATGTATATAACAAATTTATTGATCTCAGTTATTCTGAGGGAAACATGGAGGGGACCCTTGAATTTTGTGATGAAGTAATAGAAAAGTGCCTTGTGGGCGAGAGCTGTGGGAAACAGATGGGGAAGAAATGATTGTGCAACCCTCTCTGGAAAAAGGATATCGGCTCATTCTGTTCAAGCAACATCATCTCGTTCTAAATCTCTAGTTGGTTGGCATGCAGTCTGTTGGATCATGGCCTGGCATTCCATGGAGGATGTCGATGCCCATCTTATTGAGTGTGATTCGAACTTCATCGATAAAGCCATATTTCCTGCAGCAATCAGAGTTGAAATTCTTCAAGTTTAATGTTCATAGCCCATCTACTTGGCAAATTCAAAAATCTGGGTAAGCTTCTTATTTACTTTTGGTTGATTATTTTCTCTATAGTTGTTTACAATATACTTTGAATTGACTAGGTTAATAAGTTGTTTTCTAATAGAGATCACATTGATACCTTGTTTTCTCCTAGAACCATTTGTAAAGCTTTTATTGGATGGATGCAGTTTATGTTCTCTGAAGCTAAAAGTAATCCATAGTATATATGTGCACACCATCAGAACTCTTTGTGCCATTCTTCCATGCTAAACCTATCATCCAGGGATTTTCTTGGTATTGTTATTTGGAAAGACTTGTAGGAGCTCAATGCTAAACCTATCATCGATTAATGTTCTTGAGATAACTTGTTTTTCTCCTTGAACCGTTTGTAAAGCTTTTATATTGGATGGATGCAGTTTGTGTTCTCTGAAGCTAAAAGTAATCCATACTAATATATATGTACAAACCATCAGAACTCTTTGTGCAATTCTTCCATGCTAAGCACATTAACATTTTCATGGATTAATCCAGGGAATTTCTTGGTATTGTTATTTGGAAAGACTTGTAGGAGCTCAATGCTAAACCTATCATCAGTTAATGTCCTTTAGAAGGTAGGGAATATGCATGAGGAGACTTAGGTAGACTGTTATTCTGTGAAGAACTCTAATGAGCAACATTGACGAGTGACAGCCACTTACATGAAGTCAGTGGCTCATTAGAAGGGGCATCTATGGCTTTGGCATGGAGTTGAGCTGGTCAATCATATGTTGATTGAAACCTTGAAATTGGTGGTACTCCCACTCCTGAACTTTAATCTTGCTTCCAGTCCTTACTTTCTAAATGCTTCCTGCTCTAGACTTTCCCTCAATCTTGCTTATGTACCCTTTCTTGCTTCAGCCTGCAGCTGTTCAGTGCATGTGCAGATTGACCTCGATATTATGAGTGGATGTGTATGCAATAGTACCAATTGCTGCTGTGTGTTGATGCTAGCTCCAGCATGCTCAATTTCTGTGACTCTTTATGGGTTTAGTCTCTTTGTCTTGACTGTGTTATTTCCAAATTTCAGAAGTTCCTCAGTTTGACAATGTGATGGATGTTGCAAATCTGATGTTTCAATCTCGTAAATCTTATATCTCAAATCATCAATCTCTAGTAACTTTAAACCCTTTGATTTCTTTTCACTCAGTTTTGGTCAGTTTCTTTTGTACTGCATGCATTCACTCAAGTCTCCTGTTCATTTCTGTCAATATGCATCAATTCCTCTATTTGATTGTATGCTTTTTGCTTTTCTTGCCCATTTTACTGGCTAATCAAATTCATAAGGTTCAGATAGTTTATAGTTACTTCACTATTGATGCTATTGAGTACAAGAACCGTCGAGGTCAGTTGATTTATGACATGCAAGTTTGAAGCAAGTAGATGTATAGGAAGCAGACAAGAAATTTTTTTGATTACAGATTAGTATCTGGTCAACTTAGATGATATATATGTTGCTGAAGATTGAATATCAGGTTGAAGAGGATAGTGTGGTCATTTTGGTACATGAACTTGTGAGACTTGAACAACCAATAGGGATGGAGGGGATGAAGAAAGGGAGACCGCAAAGATGGGCACTGGGATGTTGATTAGTAGGTAGATGATGATAATCATCTTAATTTTAATAAAAAAAATGATTCCAAGTTATTGATTGTTTGGCCTGATATACTAAGTTTCATTGCTCAGCTTTTCACTAGGAAAGCATATTGAGCTTCCTTGCTTTTCATTATACTCAGTGGCTCGTTTTCCTTCAAAATTGGCACACACTAGTGTTTGAATCTTATCCTTTGCTGTCCCTATCCTCAATGACTTGTGCTTTGTTTCATCTGTAAATAATTACAGCTGATCTTTTCTTTTTCTTCTCAAAGATGTGTGGTGTTTTTTATTCTCAAATTGGTCTAGGGACATTGCAGAATAATTCATATCAATCTGCTAAATTCTTTAAAAGTAATGCTGATGATTATTTTTTCTACAATCTTTTAGACATTATTTGCAGTGATAAAACCTTCATCTATGGTTTTCTTGGACCTAAGCCTACCCCAAAACAGTATTACTAGATAGAAACATTGGTGTCCACTTGAATCTTCCGTCTTTATGATATTCACCTGTGGTTGCTGATGATTATTTTTTCTAGAATCTTTTAGACATTATTTGCATTGATAAAACCTTCATCTATGGTTTTCTTGGCCCTAAACCTACCCCAAAACAGTGTTACTAGATGGAAACATTGGTGTCTAATTGAATCTTCCTTCGTTATGATATTCACCTGTGGTAGCCCAATCTATGGGTTGAAGCTTGTAGAGCTGCTTATGTTATTCATTGTTTTTATATTATGTTTTATGGCCACTGTTATATTCACTGGATTTTATTCCCGAATCTCAACTACTCTTGATTTGATGCTGGTTGTTATGACAAAATGAAATTTCATGTTTCTTTTTGGATTAATGATCAATCTAAGAGTTAGTTTAAATCCTATTGTTCTTCAGATATTGATATATCATGATATAATGTTTGATATCTACGTGTTAAGAAAAAAGTATGTTATGTTTGATAAAGCTATTATCTTTAATGTGCAGGTTGGGACCTCTTTGGATATGCCTCAAGGGAGATGCCTCCTATTCTTCCAACCCTTTTCTCTCGTCCAAACCCATATCTTCATGCATGCTTCTTGCTGCTCTAAAGGATGATGATGAGCTGTGCCATCATCTTGCGCACAGTGCCTAGTGATGAACACTCTCAGCCAGAATCTTATATCGGTAATCTGTCTTTACTTAGATCTATGAGTGTGCTTTTGGGGTATTTTCGTAGACCTAAGCATGCACTTGGAATCCAGAGCAAGCTCTCAAAAGGCCATAAACAGTTGCATTACTCTACCAGACCCTGGATATGATTTATGGTTCCTGGTTTCTTCAAGCAACTTCTTCCTTGATTTCTTTTCGGGTAGGAGACCCATGGTTCAAATTGCCATTACCCACTTTTTCAACTTTTATTTTCCTGGGTAAGTCAATTTTTCTTTGTTTCGATTACCCAATTTCTGATTTTTCCTTGAATTCAATTTTATCAGCACCATTGGTCTTTTCTCTCTATACGACCTTGAATCTCGATGACATTCCTGGCATCTTTGGTCAAGAGCTTGCAATTCCTCTGGTTTTTGGGTTCTTTCCTTATTCACCCAAATTGGGTCTTTGACATTTTTATCCAAATATTATTTTTCTTTGATCCGAAAACCCAACTTCTGGTTTTTTGATGGATTGGTTTCTATCGACATCAATGTCATTTTCTCTCTATGGGTTTGATTATATGTACACTACTGACCTTTTCTCTCTTTAGGAACTCCAGTTTTAGATGAGCTTTCCGGTCACTCTCGGTCAAGAAAAACCCCCATTGTATCTGGTTTTTGACCTCTTCCTCATTCAAGGAAATTGGGTCTTTTACATTTTTGCAATGGCCATCACAGAATCTCTTGAGAAACTTGGGGACTCAGAAGCCACGCGTAGTCATTATTTTGAGCCCCCATTTTTTTCACTGCATTTACATGTGATAATTGAGTCAATGGGCTTTGTATCGGTGGCGCCCCACTTTTGCTTGCTTGGAGATTGTGTAATGGCAGGGCTGTCTAGTTTCTCGGCCTGACAAGTGCTATCTCTCTTTGCAGGATCGAGATTGGGGTTGAAATTTACCGATGAGATTCTCTTGCTGGTTCACACATGGCTTCCCTATTGGGATGCAAGAGAGGTTTTCCTAATGGGATGAGAGAGAGAGAGAGAGAGAGAGAGAGAGAGAAAGTTATACTTGTGCTCTAGGCATTACCTAGTTCGCCTCAAAACATAAGCAGTGTCTTCCTTGCCTTTCCAAGAAAGGCTATTTTCTTTGCTATTTTCTCCCTCTAATCCTCTCAAGGTACGTGCCACACAACTACGAGAGTAAAATATTTGATGTCATCCATTCAAGTCCTTGGGCCATCATGGGAGGGCTTTTTCAAGTTTGAATTTTGACAGAAGCTTCTAGGAAACCTGGGCCTTGCTGGGATTTGGTGAAGTGATTGGAGACTGTTTACAAGGGTACATACTGACCAATTCGGCCCCGATATCAGAATGTTCAGCAGATAAAGCTGAAGCCTGAAGATTCAGAAAAGGCTTACACTGATAGTAGCAGGCTGTTTGGTCAAGAAGAGATTCTCCCTCATTGTTACAAGGGTCTAGATATTTGTAAGTTATCACACAAAATTTGTATTGCGCACTCAATATTAATTTTATTACCAAATGAAAATCTATACGTGGCATTAAAAAAGAAAAGAGATTTATTTGCTACGAGAAGTGAGGAGTTGCAACATCTCTCTCTCTCTCTCAAATGGAGGGTATGTGTTTCTGAATACAATCGCTTTTTTCTCAAAGACTTGCAATGGAATTCAGTGGTATGAGATTTCGTTCTCTCTCTCACTCTCACATCCATGGTGAGATGCATTCATTTGAGAGGGACCTTCTTAATTTTATTTTCTTTCATCTTCTTTACACCTTTCTTTTTTTTTTTTTTTTTTTCTTCTTTTTTTGGCAGAGTTTCTTTTTGGCTTGGGCTTCCTCTCTGTTATGTTAGCAAATGTCACGACTGCTGATGTTTTTCCCTTTTACATTTTTTTCCCAATTGATTTATCGAAAAGTATATAATGAGACTATTTACCTTCACAAGTAATCTTGATCATTGGATGTGAAATTGATTGCCTGGCATTTATTCCATTGGCATTTATTCCATTGATCAAGCTCAAATTTCAATAGAAATTTTTTCTTTGTGATACATCCAAACTATCAGATTTCACATTGAATGGCTATAAATAATTATAATCTCCTTGTATCAATGTTAAATGATCTCATTATATGCAATCCCTTAGATTTATTTTTCATGCAGTACTACTACAAACTATATAAACTAAACATAAAACCTCAAATCAATCCACCTATAAAAAAGGAATATCACTCGAGCTCCGTGCATGCCTGGAGCGAGAGAGAGAGCCATCAGCACAAGCAGCCTAATGAGAGATGGAGAGAGTACCAACAGCTTTCAGCAAATCAGCCAGATTAACCAAAAGCCATAATAATCATTTAGAAAGAACAAAAATTAAAAGAAAGCCACATCAACATTTGAAAAGAAAACATGGTTATCCTTGGCCATGCTTCATCCAAAAGAAATACATGAACAAGAAAGATACCTTATCAAATTACCAGTACTTGTTAAAACTTAGAAGACAATCATATCATGGAAAAAGAACAAATCTCAGAGAGAGAGAGAGAGAGAGAGAGAGAGAGAGATCCTCTGTACATAACATTTGCTACACGTTCGAACAGATCGATCTACAACATCCATCTCCCACCTCAACCAAAGAAGCTTGGGTCATAGCCATTGCTAGTGGTGGCCAATATGTAGTAAGCCACAATATGGCCAATTGATCCCCATGCCAGGACATCAACAATATTGAAACCAGCAGGGTCATTTGATTTCAACAATCCAACATACTCCTTAGCTCTATCATCACCTGCCTCAAAGTGGGTCACCCCATTTTGCTCTGGCAAACCTTGCTTGGCAACATTTTCTCTTTGAAAATTCAAGAAAACAAACCTACCCAAGAACAAGGACAAGCCAGTGCTGAGGCTTATTACCAAAGATGCGTTCAACTCAGCTTTTGGGCCAAATTTAGAGGGACTTCTAGATTTGGGTTGGGTTTTGGATGAGATTTTAGCTAGTAAGTGGAAGGAGTTTAGAGGTTTAAGGGGGCGCAGGCCTTGGAAGAGATTGAAATTGGGGGAGATTTGGGGGTGTTTTTGGAGGGGGGGTGAGAGGGTGGGTGTAGTGAACAAGGTGGTTGCCATGGTTTTAGAGGTTGTTTTAGCTGTGAAAATGGAGGAAAATTTAGAGAGGGCCTATATGAATTGAATGGTGGGGGGTGGGTTTGAAGAAGTAAAACAATTGGATTTCTGTATCTTATTCTTCTCTTTTTTGGGGGGTCTTTGTGAATATGAGAATGGATTTTGAGGGTGGCTTGGATGGATTTGATTGGTTAGTTATGGATAAGGGATTCAGACCACAAATGCTTGAAAGGGCTTGCTTGATATATTCTATGTGGTTCTTTTTCAAAAAGAAAATAGAAAAGGATAATTTAGAATGAGAGAAGCTAGTGTATTGTCAACCAAAGGAAATTTTAAGCCTCTGCCATATTTAAATATGGTAATCACACGGAGGTCCAAAATTTATAGAAATTTACAAGAAGGTCCACCGGTCTGATGCTCCAAACAGTTTAACTTGGTTTTCTCTTTTCAATTGTGTTCCTCAGTCTTATGTTGCAAACATTAGACTGCTTTTCTTTTTTTTTTTTAAATTTTTTTTAAAGTGTAAGGATCAGTCTAAGGCTCTAGATACCAGACTGCTCAACTTGTATGAACATTGTGGAAGCCACACGGTCCGATTGTGAATTCCCAGTTTTGTTATTGGTCCAATGTCTAGAACTTTAGACCACTTTGCTTCTACACTGACACAAGCCAAGTGGTCTAAGTTCTAAAACCTCAACTCAATCCCCAGAATGAAATTCATTGTCTAGAGATTGTTTCGAGGTTCCAGACCCTAGATTAAAATTCATTGTCTAGAGACTGTTTCGAGGTTTCGATTGTGAATTCCCAGTTTTTGGGCCTGTCTTGGTTTTGTGCAAGCCTGAACTAAGTCGACTCAAACTCAACCGACTAACTCGACCCGGCCAGACCCTCAAAACCTAGTCTTAAATTGAACAAAGAACAGACACGGTGTTGAATTCTTATTTCGTTGCAAGTCAAGCTGCCTCCTTATCGGATCTCATGACATTGTCTGTGGTTATTGAAGTCAATGCATATCATCGGGTTTTTTTTACACGCGAAACTTGTATTGGCATGTATTTACTACCTCCTCTCCGCTGAAAAACCTGCCTAGAATTGCATTAGAAAATGAAATACTTGCTTTCCTTGACTAGTGTGGTGCCTTGGAACTTATTTTAATTATACGGAGATCATCATAATCATCATCATACGAGACGTATCCCATTTATTTGAAGTTCACTACAAAAATCTTATTTTGTGATTCTACTTTTACAAAAAGTCACATAGTCAGTGAGACTATAAATCATCATATCTCTTCGCATTACTTTCATCCATGTCTTTTTGGATCCTCCCCTAACCCTCTTAAAACCTTCACTTGAACCAAATCGTCTCTTCTCCTAACCAGTGTTCTACTAAAATGATAATAAAAAGTTTATTTGCCTTGGAGCCAATTCTAAATATAATGATTGAAATTAAAACACAATTATTCAAAAAGAAATTTGGTCCCCTATACCAAAGGTGCTCCCCCAAGACTTTAAAAACCATTTTGGAGGTGTGCAAAGGACTTAAAAACTTCCTATTAACGTCCATATTATTATTTCCCACAAATAAAAACTCATCAAAGGTCATGAATCCTAACAAATTACGACGATGATACTAATTTTGAAAATAATTCGAATTATTTATCTTTATGAAAAGAATCTAAGATCCAGTCAAAAGAGCAATGGAACTGAGCATGCACAATTCCACCTTTCGAATTAATAAATCAAATACAACAAATGTTAAACTCAAGGTTATAAGACTGATTGCCTTCCAGTCGTGCTGTGGACTTGAAGCAAGTAATTCATTCATGACATGCCTAGTCCAATTTGAGGCACCACGACACCTTGTTCCTAGGATTTAGGGATGGCAACCGGAAGGGACCAGACCTGGACCCAGATCCAGACCCAGACCCAAAAAAAAATATTATAGACCCAGACCCAGAATCATATAGTGTTCAGGCCCAAGATTTGGACCCCGACCTGAACCCGGCCTGGTCCATTGCCACCCCTTCTTGGATTCCTCTTTCTTTTTCTTCTTTTTTTGAAAAGTTATGTACCTAGGATATCTTCATGCAATATCTTCAAATTCCTTTCTTTCCTTCTTTTAGGGGTTTGGAGAGAGAGAGAGAGAGAGAGAGAGAGAGAGAGAGAGAGAGAGAGAGAGAGAGAGAGAGAGAGAGAGAGAGAGAGAGAGAGAGAGAGAGAGTGAGAGTAGAGAGTAGTAGTAGAGGAGTAGAGAGTAGAGAGTAGAGTACGAGTAGAGTAGTAGTAGTACGTAG